GCCCCTGCGGGTTCCTTACATGGTCTCAAACCTGATCTTCTCCTACCATGGGCGGCTCTTCATTCTCCCAGTCCCTGGCTTTGCCTTCTGGGGCTTGGGCGGTGAGGCTTGAGCACTTGCCAGTGAAGACCGAGGCAAAAAAGTCATTGAGTACCTCAGCCTTCTCCATATTCCGGGTAACCAGGTCTCCCGTTTCCTTCTGGAGAGGGCCCACATTTTCCCTAGTCTTCCTTTTATCCCTGACGTACCTATAGAAGCTTTTCTTGTTGCCCTTGACGTCCCTGGCCAGATCTAATTCTTTAGCTTTCCTAACCTGATCCCTGGCAGCTCAGACAATTTCTCTGTATTCCTCCCAGGCTATCTGTCCTTACTTCCACCCTCTGTAGGCTTCCTTTTTGTGTTTGAGTGTATCCAGGAGCTCCTTGTTCATTCATGCAGGCCTCCTAGTGGTTTTGCCCGATTTCCCCTTTGTTGGGATGCATCACTCCTGAGCGTGGAGGAGGTGATCCTTGAATATTAACCAGCTTTCTTGCACCCCTCTTCCCTCAAGGGCTTTGTCCCATGGCGCTCTACCAAGCAGATCCCTGAAGAGGCCAAAGTCTGCTCTCCTGAAGTCCAGGGCAGGGAGCTTGCTGTGCACCCTCCTCGGTGCCCTAAGGATCTTGAACTCCACTGTTTCATGGTCACTGCAGCCAAGGCTGCCCTTGAGCTTCACATTCCCCACCAGCCCCTCCTTGTTGGTGAGAAGAAGGTCCAGCATAGCACCTCTCCTTGTTGGCTCCTCTTCCACTTGGAGAAAGAAGTTATCATCAACGCATTCCAGGAACCTCCCGGATTGCTTATGCCCTGCTGTGTTGTCCCTCCAACAGATATCAGGGTGGTTGAAGTCCCCCATGAGGACCAGGGCTTTTGCTAAATTCATTTTAAGTTGATTGATTATTCATGAAGTGGTTGCCTCACATACTGAGTATCAGGTAATGTGGCTTGTCAACCTGTGTGTGCAATACTGTTCCTGTTATCTTTAGATGAACAATAAAATAAAACATTCATAATTAACATCTGCATAAAATGTGGAGAGTATCTATTTCTTTCTAAGCACTTGTGAATACTGTCAAAACACGTGTTCTAGTGGACAAAACATGACAGCAGTATCCCAAGCAGAGGGCACACTTGTTTGATGATTTGTTTTAACCACATTGCTTAGCTCTGTTTCATTAAACTGTATCTTATGCAAAATGTAGCTCCTTACCCACTAGCTTACACTCTCTGCAATTTCCATACAAGACTTTTGGCTTATTTACTTACATGTGTCACAGCAGGTATTGCCAATTTTTGCAATTCTGCCCTAAAACAATAAAAAAAGAAAACTTCTATTTTGGCACAAGTAATACACATTTGTTCTACTGGAAGAATACAAAGGGACGTTTAAAACAAGGTATTAAGCAAGAAAATTGTATTTCTATATTGTACAAAAATATAAATCTACATTAGTAATCATCTCTTTATCCATTTTAAGGTTTTGAACTTGTGATTGTATCTGTTGATAGCTGATTGGAAATAATTTACTATATTAGCAAGTTCAATACCTGAAAATATTGCTTTCACCTTATATTGGGAGCTTTCTAAACTAAAGATATTGAATACAAATAAATTTCTGGGAACGAGAGTGATAAAACCAATAGCATTCAAGTCTTATGTCTGTTTAAGAAAGGAAGTTAAACAGTCCCTCTTGACTTTTTTAGCAACATAGATGAAAGCTTGCCTATTCCACAACAGCTGAAAATGTAGAGGCAAATCATCATAAAATATCACATCTCTCAAATAAGTTTTAACAGCCAAAAATTTTATTTTTCTTGTTTCATTACTACCATGTAGAAAATAATTCTCAGAAATACATGTATGGTGGAAAATTACCGAAAATCCTTAGTGAAAGGAAAAATGGAGAAATATTTATACTGCAGGGTGATGCCATTGTTGCATGCAACACCTGAACTTACATGCAAAAGTTTGGAGGCTTTTATAATTAAAAAACCTAAACTTTCCACCTGTAACTAGATGAAAACCACTGATTTTATAGCTGAAATAGTTCATTTTTTTGGATGGGAGGAGAATATGGGAAGTTCTGGTTAAAAAGTAAACTATTCTTCATTGATTTTTCAATGAGGACCTTTAGAATATGATAATAAACCCAAGCCTGGGACAGAATCCAACATTTTTCTAAATCTTTGTTTGTATAACAAAACTGTGTGCTACAGTGACTTCACAAAGTGAGAAGTGCAATGTAGAAGCTTTATTCTTCCTGCATTATACATATCAAATCCTCCATTTGCTTGAAGTGTATGTAGAGAGAGGTTTGGGCACAAGCTTTGTTAAAGGTTTCGTGCTTCCTGTCGTGCCCAAGAAAATGGGGACAGGTGGATATAAACACCTGCGTGATGCTAGATGAGCAAAAGCAGGACCCTATGTGCTACACCCCAAACGGTACTCTGTTCCTCAGTGTATGGCTAACCTCAAATCACAGGAAAGATGGGTGGACACGTCAAGTGGGGTTTTTATTATACCATTATACCAAACAACTGCAAATGTGGAAGTTTGAGCTCTTCCTACAGCATTGTGAAAATTCCTTTCCCTAACCTCATACGAGGGTAGAGAAAAAATGTCTTAGCATTTCATATGCATATTCATAGAAAAAAAGAGGCTGATCTGTTTTCTCAGTTTGTGTAATTATCTACACAGTTTTGCTCTGAAAACACTCTTAGAACAACCATTTTCTTATGTTTGCTGCTTCATAAGGGGCAGAATTACTGCAAGCTCAGCATCTCCCCTGCAGTATAGTCCCACATAAAACCAGCATATATTTTAAAATAAAGAAAACTTACTTACATTTTTCTGAATTTCAAAGAAAGTTCAAATTCAGTTTAGCCAAGGTGCTGGGAGAGGGTAGGGGTTTCCCACCCTAATACACATAAGGTACCTATATACAGAACCATAAACATGACAGACTCTATTAGGAAACCTGGAAACAGGACCCATTTCACTACTTACTCCTTCAGCCAAACATCTTCTGGAATCAAATGGAGGACAGCCAGTGATTCTCCTTTCCCAGATAAATTCCCCTTTCTCGTTTACTTTGCAGGAGTGACTATCACAGCCATCCTGAAGTGATTCATTTGGCTGTAAAGATTTAAGGGCTGTTAGCTTTACACAGAAACAACATGGGACAGTAAGTTTTCAGGATACTATACAACCTGACTATTTCTTTACTTATATTTCAATTAATGCACCATGGTGGTGAAGTTTATAAAACATGGAAATCTTTAGTAAACAGAATTTTTTATCAACAAAGTCATCATCTTCTATTTACTTCCATAGCCATAATGATCACAGCTCAGTCAAGACTGCCAAAACCTGACCTTCTCCAGCTCTTAACAGGGAAGATATTTCCATTAACTTAAAAGACAAACTTGTCTAAGTGAGAAACTTGGGAGTTTGGCCTATGAATTGTCTTTTAAAGAGACATCTATATGAACATTTAACTTCTGGCTGAGTTGGGAGCTTCTTTAAAAAAATACATAAAACCACACACCCACTCCCACCCCCCACATAGAATCATTTAGGTTGGAAAAGACCTTTAAGATCATTCAGTCCAACCATTAACCTAACACTGCCAAGTCCACCACTAAACCATCCCTAAGTGCCATGTCTACATGTCTTTTCAATACTTCCAGGGATGGTGACTCCACCACTTCCCTGGGCAGCCTGTTCCAACGCTTGACAACCCTTTCAGTGAAGAAATTTTTCCTAATATCCAATCTAAACCTCCCCTGGCACAACTTGAGGCCATTTTATCTCATCCTATCGCTTGTAACTTGGGAGAAGAGGCCGATCCCCACCTCGCTACAACCTCCTTTCAGATAGTTGTAGAGAGCGATGCGGTCTCCCCTCAGCCTCCTCTTCTCCAGGATAAACAACCCCAGTTCCCTCAGCTGCTCCTCTGAAGACTTGTGCTCTAGACCTTTCAATAGCTTCATTGTTCTTCCCATACTCTCCCTATCTAAAATTTAGCTCAGGAATGGAATAAAAGAAAATGTTACACGCTGTTTCTTGTGACAAGCAGATGGGTTTTAACCAGAAAAATATCCACTCCTGTTTAAAAACCTATCATGCTGGAGAAAGTTTTCAAAATTCACATTTTCAACTTAAATTATCCATTTCTCATTTAAAATGAGGTTTTTAATTTTTTCTAAGTAGTTGTTTGAGCCCGCATTCCAGTTAAAGTTCTTTGATAATATTCATGCTTGCAGGTGCATCTAGAATGGTCCCCCTAGAATTTTGCACTGTGGTATGAAGTGGCCATTTTTTCATTTACAAACAACAACAACAAAAAAGAACTTTCTTGAGAAACCATTCCGAAATATAAAATAAAAGGCACTAGTAATACTACGCTGCCTAACCAAAAAGGAGGGGAAAAAATGTGCTTTCCTTGAGTTCACCAGAAGTCTGTGCTACATTTACATTTACATTTACTCATAAATAAAAGAAAGAGTGCTTAAAACTTACCTGAAGGTATTTAAGCCTTCCATCTCTGAGCCTAATGCCGCATGAAGTTGGCACACATTTTCCACAGCAAGAGCCAGAGATTTCCTGCCTTCTGTAATTCTAGAGGTAAAGGACATTTTTCTGGGTTTATTTTGTCTCAAGCATGCTTCCTACACTCATTTGTAGAGTTTTTTTTTAAAAAAAAACAATCAGTGGACAAAGTGATAGCCAGCAAAATGCTTTTTTAAACAGTAGGACTAGACTGGCTTAATCTAATTAGTTGCAAACTTTTGTTTTTTGTTTTATAAAGGCTGGCATTAATCCTTGTACTGATTTATTATACAATAGGGAGAGAAGATTATTTCCAAGTACAAAGCCTCCCATGTCCATTAAATTCAATATTCTTTGACTGTAACAGTTGCAAGGTCAGGTCCACTAAACAACACATGACAGGAGAAGAGGGTAAGAAAGTTATTAAAATGTTTTGAGTAACATACGGTTCGTATTTGTGGAGTGCAGGTGCTTCTCTGTAAAGGTAATGAATACAACAAAGTGCAACTTGGAAAAGTAGCTTGAAGTGCTTAAACTAGGAGAAAAGGGCAAGATAACCAGTAGGCAGTGGGCAGGGAAAGGGGAGAATAAGGCTAAGGTGGAAAATTTGGACTATGGAAAGAAAAAGAAAATGGCCTGATAAAACAAGAAAGTAAAAAGAGCATCAGAGAGGTATGACATAATAAAATTAAAAAGGAGAGAAAGAAAGGAGGAATAATGGAGCCCCACAAATGGCACAGGAAGGAAAAAACAGTGGCAGGGAAAGGAGCACGGGAGAATGAGTAGCACTAGATGGAGAGGAAGGAAGAATGGATAGAATGGATAATGGAAAGAAAGAAAAAAAAACAGAAGGGAACTGAGTTAACACGTGAAGTGTCCCACAGTAATGTCTCCAGCTGCTACACATAACCAACAGCTGCCTATGATGAGCTGAACATTTTTAAGACAACAAACACTTTCTGGTTGAGTGAAGGCATGCATGTTATCCATATGTTTTTTATAGAAAAAGAATTTGAGGAGGGTGGGGGGTTACTACTAAATCATTGGAAGAAAACATAGTTCTTTGTTATTTAGGTGAACTTGCTCTACTAGCAAAAATGTAAGCACCTAACGTAGGTCATCAAATGACCAAAAAAAATGACCCTGATGAGCAGAATATGCTGCAGTTGGCTGCACTTCAATTACCATTGCATTTACATTAAAGCTTCAGCATCCAGTAGAAAGCAGGTGCTCCTGAGAGAGGATATACTCTGAACCCATGATTTTATCCATTATGAAGGAATTGCTTTTAATCTGGCTATACCATGAAATCAATGACTCTGAGACAGGAAAGATCCCAAGTATGTGTGTGAATCCCACTGGCCTTAGGGGGATGAAGACATTCTGTATCTTCTTTGATATTTTTTCCCCCTCAAGCTCCACAGATTCATTACAATGACTACAAAGGGATACATACACCTAGACCTGCAACCTCCCTTGGGGAGCTGCACATCTCCTAAAAACAAGTTCATAGTGCTTAATAAGCCCAACTGGAAGTTGCCCTTTCTTCAGGGGTTTTTGTTTAGTCTGTACTTTTGGGTCAGGTGGGGGAAAGGAGATGTTTGTGAATTGTGTGGATGGTGAAAGAAGCAGGAGAGGAATGTTTCCCCGCTTTTTTACCATGTATTTTATTGATTCCTCTACCTTTAATTTCTACAGCTGGCTTCTTGCATTGAAAAGCAAGAATTGATGGTTTTGGCTTTTTGTGTGGGAACATACATATGCACACATGTTTCTGGCCACAGATTCATTCTAGTGTATCTGGGTTTTTTTCATCGATCTGCCAGGTTAGATTTTGTGGAAGCGAGGAAGATGCTCAGCACTGAGCTTGGCCATTTATTTTCCTTTCAGAAGCCTGTGTCTATAATCATACCTTACAGGAGGGGTAATATTAGAGTCCAGAACCACACAAATTATTCCAGATTCTCCCTTTTGTCACAGGCTACATCCATATCAGCAAATAAAGGGAGTCAAGGCCAGTTTTCTGGCCCTGCAGACAAGTGGAAAATGTATGTATGTCTAAACTGCATTCTCCCCACAAAACAGGCTGGCCTTGGGTTGTCCTAACCACTGACATGTGCCCAGGCATTATTTGGAAGTTTGCTAGTTAGAACAGGCCAGCTGGGACACTGCTGACAATTCGTCAAGATAAGGTGGTTGCAGGACATAATTTGAGCCTGCGTTCTTGCTCTGTTTAGTTTATTAGTACACATGAAACCAAGAAACTTGACTTACTACATTGTCATTTCCAATTCTACTTAGGGATTGAAAAGTGGACTCATCCAAAACTCTGCCCCTCTCTTTTGCAGGGACCCTATCAAGCTATGCCTCTCCTGGATATCAGCCGGGAATCCCATATGATCATGTTAGAAATGTGGCTTTTTGGTGCAACAGCCACTGCTTGCACAGGCCCTGGGTTTGGTTGGGCCCACTGGCCTCCATCCGTTATCCAAGGAAAGGCAGAAGAGGAGGTGGCATTTAAGCCTTTTTCTGTGAACCTGCTGTGAGCTGCTGGTCTGGGCTCTTCAGACAGGGGGAGATGAAGCCAGCCTCTGCAACCTGCTTAGGTCTCCTTATACTTGAGCTATTGGTGCTAAGAGAGAAAAATGAGATGATTGAGCAGAACTAGTCAGGCACTCCGGTCACACTGTTAGTCAGTGGAGTGAAAATGGGAGCTATTTCCCTCTGGCTTTCCCAGCCAAGCTCATTCCTTGCAGATGATGGTAGCAAAGCAGCAGCAAGGACTTCAAAAAGGCCAGTGGAACTGATGGAGACAATCACCTCAAATCACCTAAGGCATGGCTGGGAACTGGAAAGAAATATTATTGAGCTCAGCTATTAGACAATTTGGAATAGTCATAGGAAAGCCCTGAAGAATGGAGATCTGGCTGAGCTGACAGTCCCTGGAGGGACAGATAATACTGTAGAAAAGGAGACACAGCAGCTCCTGTCGCCAATGGTATGCCAAACCTTATTTTGCCTTGAAGGTAAGTAGTCTAAAATACACACAAAAAAATGGGCCTGTGGACCTGAGTACTATGAAAAGTTGCCCTTTCCTACACTGTGGATTTAGATCACATTTGGTGTATTTGATCTAATTCAGGGAAAGACCATGGGCCATGACTGCAGAAAAACTTGGAGAAAGGTAACAGGTCCCAGAGTTGTACAGAACATAAACTGGTGTATACAATGAAGAACATGACCTTCTCATCAGACACATTCTTAACCAGAACATCCAGATTACTCGCACTTACTATTGGGCATGGTTCACAGCTTAATTTTGTACATGTCAGAGTATATCTCCGAGACGATGTTGGCTGGAGGGAGCAGAGACATGTTGTGCATTGATCCACCATCAGGCGTCTCCATGGCTGAAACATTAGAACCAGTTTGTAAGTCAGTGACTGCCTCTTCAGCAAAAGTAAATGAGCAATTTTATCTAGGTTAAATCTCTTTCATTAAATCTTGCATTGCAATTCTTTGCAAGAGAAAACAGAAAACTGATGCCCCCAGCTTCCAGAGACCCAAATTTTTGCATCTTAATTCCACAAAAGGCAGCATAGCATGAGCCTATTTTTCAAGTAAGCCCTTTAGAATTCCTTAATCTGCGAAATGGCATTGGCATTTCTTACTTCGTTGCTTATAAAGCTAGCAAGCAAGAAAGGAATCCTTGAAAATGATGAAGAAGATTTTGTCACGAGCTATCCTGACTACGTGTTACGTGGTTGCCACCAGTTCATTTCTCCTGAGTGTATTGAATTGGTTTGCCAATAAGTTTTTATTCTTGAGCCATCACAACCCACAGATCATGAGCAGAAATTACTTGTTATTGTTCTTGTAATAACACTGCTTAGAATTTCTAGAGGCCTAAAAATTTAAAATTGAGAAAGGAGAAAGAAAAAAAATGCAGAAACAGAATTTCTGAGTGAAGAACTGGACTTGTCCATAGTTATAAGAAAATCAGTGGCTGAGCTGGCACACAGTTCAAATTCCCTGAGCTCTTCCCCAGCACCTTGTTTGCTGGATCCCATTACCTTTTCAAAGCAAGCAAAAACGACATTTAAAATGCCAAACTATTAAATGGGAAACAAAAGGATGTGGAGTTAGTACTTGGATTCCTAGCACTTCAGAAAGAAATTCTAAATACAAAGTCTTCCTGCTTTCCAAGTGCATGCACAGCCTTTCATTTCAACCTCAAAATATTAAACCACTATGGCTGAATGAACAAAATGGGAGGAGCCTATTAAAGATTTTCACAAAGAACTTCTAAAACCTGATAAATAAAGTAAACAGACACTGAATATCACTAAATTATAAAAGCTTTGAGTAGTGCTTCAAATGTCAATGGAATTTCACTGTTGACGTCATTTGGAACAGGAATTTCCCATGCTACATAGTATGCATATCTTAAAATTCTTTTTTTTCTTGTTCCACACTAGTAAACACTCATGGAACAAATGGAGCAAACCCAGAAGCTGGCCAGAGTAACAGTGTAAAGGTAATAGGTTTGTGGGTAGCTCAGAGCCAATACTCTGACATATATATTTGAAGGACAAATGTTCTGATTAAAGAATTTTAACTACATTCTTACTCTGCACCCCAGCACAACAGAGGTCCTCAGGGCTCAGTGGTTTTCTGTAAAGCACCAGCAATAGCAGTGACTTTTTTCTTGTTTTGTGGAGGTCTATAAAAAAAATCCTCCACAAACAACACGATGGGGTGGTAATATCAATGGGGAGATCCCTGTCTTCTAACAACCCAGCTTGAGACCTCGACACAGAACCCTTCAGCTTTTTTGGTTTAACCTTTTATAGTGAATATCAGGTCATTAATCTGGAGGGTTAAAAGACCTCAATGGATGCAGGCAAGAGGACACACTCATAACATCTCCTATGGGAGAGGGATGGATAGCAAATGTCATATGAAACACTAGACTTCTCGTTTACTCTCATCATTGGAAAGCATTCGGACACCAGAGTGATAGTTCTAGTACAGACTACATGGCCTCACAAGGGCATTCAATCCACTGACACTAGTATTGCGCTTTTTTGTGCATGTACACACAAAAGCCTTGAAAATCTGAGAGATGTTCTCATCATGGTGACCTGTTTCAAAATATATTTGGTTTGTTTACTATGATAATCATACTTAATTCAGGCCCTCTAAAAGTAAACACTTATCACAGAATGCCTCGGTAGCTCTAGGCTTTCACATCAGGAAGAAAGCTGTAAAGCCACAATTGATATTGCAATTGATATCCTCATTGGAACTTCTAATATTGTTAACATTCCACTTAAATACAAAAAAGATAGATAAAGTTGCGTTTATACTAAAATCACTGTTATGGGCAGGAACGTAGGGATTACTAGAGACATGTTGAAACGAAATCCTCACACACAAGTCCCTTGAACTTTTGGGGGAAGGTCTTACCTTAATCCAAAGTTTGCTTCACAGCTTAGTTCTATGATATTTATTCAATGTATTTAGGGATCAGAATGCAAATGGCTTTAACAATGTCTTTCTGTGAACAAACATAGCTTAGCATGACAGAAATGAGTGAAATAATGGATTGATACATCTTTTTCCCTTTATATAATACACCTATCGTGTTTTCTTGGCTAACTTAGAATGAAATGTCAACATCTGCTAACCCAGTGTTAGTGCAATGAAAATAACCTGCACGAAGCCCAAATCTACTCAGATCTCCTTCAGAAATGCCACTCAGTAAAAGCCTGGGAAAACAGATGAGTGATACAGATAATCCTTTTGGTAAATACAGCCACCTGCTTGGAAGTCTGCAGTTAAAGGCCTCAGCATTGTTAAGAACAGCGGAGTGAATGCAATACACCAAATCACTGGAATATAATATTGGTAACCAGATACAAGACAAAAATGTAAAGGGATTAAGGACACAGCCAGTTAACAGAACTGCAGTAAAAGACTCAAAACTTGGAACTATTCAGTGAATGAGTTAATGGAGCAAAGTTTTCCCTTGATATAAAATGAAATTTGAAACCTATTCTTAAAGGACCCAGAATAAAGGTTTTGAAATCCAGGAAGTATAAACTTCTGTGGACACCACATCTTCCTTCCTGACCAGAACTCTGGAACAGTCATTGAAGTAGAGAATGGTGTAAGACAAAGCTGTAGTAATGCCAGCTGCTCAAAAGCTTTCAGACATACAGCTAATTAGCTTACAATAAGTCATTAAATGAAGCTAGTTTAATTGAAAAGTTAATTAATTTAAGACAAGTTTTAATATAAGTTCTAATTCTTTTTTTTTTTTTAATCAAAATGGCCACTTTGTTTAGAAATCTTCCAAGATTACATCTCAACTTGAATTTCACACTCTCCATCCTGAGAAAATACTTTGGTTTTGCTAACTTCAGTAATGCTTGACACTTGCGACAGCAAGAGCACAGAAGTAACATAACAGCTGGGGCCTACCTACACCCTCAAAATCTTGCACAGGCAGTGTTTGATAAAATGACCAATTGTCAGGAAGAACAATAACACATTTTAAAAGCTGTATTAAAAAAAAAAAAATAAAAAAAATTAAAGATATTTTTTATATATAGTCAGGTAGCAAATAAGAATGAGTCAAAATGTAGTTTTGTGTGAGCTGATACACTTTATGAATTCATTCCAACTTGGGAAAATTTTACTAAGATAGGAATTTTTTTCAATGTTGTAGAAGCTGAAATATTTTATTTTTAAATCTGCAAAATACAGATACTTCTCACTTTGCCTTCAACGTGACATTTTGTTTCAAAATTTGCTTATGGTTCATTTTAAAGTATTTTAAAATACTTTAAAACACTTGAAAATAGAACAAAAACTTTACTTGACAGATCAGGTAAACATTTTGTTGGAAGAGAAAAAATTAGTTGTTCACATAGTTGTTCATGGAAGAACAGCATGCAACTGGAAAGACACCTTTTTACAACAGAGAATATATGTATATGTATGCATATCCTATATAACAGAAGGTGGCAGGAGCTAGCAATTACTATACTGCATGACATTCTCTACAAGTATGGTCTTTATAAAATGCCACAACTGGTTTTGACAACATACTACAGAGGAGACAAATAGAGGAATCAAAGAGAAAGCATATTGTTTCAGATTTTACCACTTTAAAACCCTTCTCCCAGTGTTCTGACAAGAAAGGCAGAGTTATTCCTTGGATTTAATTCTACAGGGAAGTAATCCCCACGTAGAATGATGGATGCTTGATGGCAGGGCTTTAGCTCTAACAAACTGATAAACTTATGCCCATCGCCTAAGAAAAAGTTCAAAACAAGAAGAAACAGATGGAGAAAAGTTCTCTCCGCCATATTTCAAAAGTCCAAAGAGATTTGGGTAAACTTACCTTTTAAATAAATGAAAAAAGAAAGACACACATTGACAATGCAGGAATACATAGGTTAAAAGTTAGGTTAAATGACTAAAGAGAACCTGTTTCCCCAGGGGATGATGAGAATACTTAAAGCTCTTTGACACCAGAGGTGCTGCCAGAATATGGATTTAGGGAAACAATGGACAATTGACAGAGCTCTCCAAAGATAAATTCGGCATAAATGAGATCAGATGCTTAAGTCCCATCATTCCCACTGTCATGGGCTGGGTTAAACATGTCTTAATCTATCCATTAAATATGCAGTTGAGAAAAAATTTCCTCTGAGGGCATATCAGCAGGGATCTTGAAAGGAGGCAGAGGTCAAACAGTGAGGAAGCTCAGCTTTCCTGTTCCTGCTAATAGCTCCACACAGGTGGAGCAAGAGTCTCCATCCTTTTTAATCTGCCTTATCCTCTAGGTAGAATACGGGAAGTTTTTGCTTCCCCAAGGTGGGCAAGGATCATTTTTGAGATTATCCCTCGCAGATAGTTTCCTGTGTGTTTGGTAGCCTGCAAGTCATGACACAAAGCAGATTACCACAGTTTCTAAGCACTTTTCTCAAGCACCCTTTCAAGATAAGGAAACATTACTGTCCCCATTTTGCAGAGATACTCACTGTCATATAGGAAGACTGTGGCAGCATCATGAACTGGACATATACGTGCTGAGCCCCTTGCCACTGCTTTTAACCGAAGGTCCCACTTGCAGAGATTCTGACTGAACAAAGCTGCCCTGTACACTTATATGTATTCTGGCAAGTTCGTGTTCTTCAAAAGCTCATTCATATATCTAAATGTCTTACCATCACAGCAAATAAAAGGAATCTTGTCTTACCCCAATAACAGTGCCATTCAAAGGGCAACCATTCAAAGGTACTGAAAAAGAAGATAATATTCCATTTAGCATTACTATTATCATGACATTACCGAGATTTAATAAACCACAGGTATGCTTTTTTGACTTATTAGAGTTCCAACTGAGGATGTTCAGATCCAGTTTCACTGTAAAGAGGCATAATTGAGCCCTCTTACATTATACCTTGAAAGGTAACAATTTGTCAGAGCTATCCTGAATTCCATCTCCAAATATCCCTTGCTGAGCTGTTTTTTAACAAGTACGTCGCACAATGTAGATTTTCCCCTCCAGTTCAAGCCTTGCGCTCACAGAAGATGCACTCACAGGTTTTCTGCAAGTTACAGTGCTTATTTCTCCTCCTCCTTCCACTGCTAGCTCCTCACCCTGTGGCTGCATATATACTTGTCAATTAAACATGACTGGGAGTCTTCCCAGACTGAGGCCAATTAGCCAAATCATCTGATTTGGACTTTTGACCCAAGTCTATGCTAGGAAATGGCCACAGCCACAATGCTCAGAGACGCGCAGAAGACAGCATGGCTGCATGCAAACTCCCTGTTCATACAAGGCACTGGGGAGAGCCTTGAACCTTCCTAGGCCAAAAGCATCTCAAGACCTCTTTTAAATGCTTAAGAATGCAGGCTAGAGCTGTAGAGACATAGCCTGGTATGTCTCTCTGAAGCAATGCAAAATAGCTTCAACAGTAACTAGATCAAAAGGAGGCAGTGAACATCAGTTGTAAAGAGAAAATAATAGCAGCAAGTGCTATTGTACTCAATGTCTAAATTATACAGGACAGCTTCAAAGTAGCACTATATTTGCATAACACACACTTTTGAAATTGCTGTTGAGAAACAACATGAGATGATTCATTCTCCAGTGATTCCATTTGTCATACACAAAACCTTACCACATCTGCAAGAAGGACAGCAGTCTATTATTTGGTCACAGCGCAGTTCAGTTCCCTCTGGACAGTCAGGCACATCCATTTGAGAGCAAGAAAGATTCTTTTGCTGCACAAAAACCTCATCGTTCACCCGGATGCACTCATTGATAATGCAATGGTTGAAGGGGGATCGCCACTCTGTGCCAACCTGATGGGAAATTGTAAAAGGATTAAATATAGGCAGCAGTATTTGTGCCACTGGATAGCGGGAAGACCACCATAGCCAACATGCTGGTTTGCAAAAAGCACATTTACTGCGTCAGGAACAGTCTGTCACTCAACAGTTCTCCACAGATCCTTACCATGACAATCCATTTATAGAACAGTCTGACAGAAGAGTTGAAAGAAGACACAGCAAGAAAGGGACTGCAGAGTATAAGGATCTATTACTCCATTAGGATAGCCAACATCAGTAAGACATGGTGGGACATTAAAATAGGCCTTCTGAAGGCTTGTTTTATGAAGCAGAGCAGAATATTGATCCACATTAAGAAATGCCCTTGGTAAAATCAGGGAAGAGGCAGGCTGCAAAATGTGACATGAAGTTTTAAAAAGACAGAAGCAGATTGCCTTCGTAAAAGAAACGATTTAAAAGTTAATATCAAACATGTGAAAGTGAGATGTATATGAAAATGCAGACACACTATAACAAACAATACTTAGGGAAGAAAAGATGAGGAGAAGGTCTATTATTTTAAATGTATTTAACTTACTGTTCCTGCCTTTGTTGAATCCAAAGCTCTGCATAGGATTGAGCAATTTAATGCTACTGGGGCAGGCAAAGGCTTGCCGAGAGTGGTCAGGTTAGGGTCAGAACAAACTGAATAGCCTAAAGGAATGAAAAATGTAGGCAAGAAAAGAAGCAAATATCCACCTAGCTTTCCAGAGTGGTAGGGTATCTGCAGCACATTTGAAATGGCTGTTGCATGCACTCACTTCCTGTTGGGCTCTTTGAATCCTAAGGGAAGAGGCATACTGCTGAAAATAAACTGTTATTCTGAGCAGAGAACAAGCGTGGCCTGGACCACTGCGGTCTGATCTGACGTGCAGCAATCATCTTTAGCAACCAGAGAGTAATTCATGTTTGTATCCTGATTTACTTCCTGATATTTCAGTGTGTACCAAGTAGGATATTCTATTTGAATAGGACCAGGAAATTCGAGCAATCTACCACCCCACCTGCCTGTTATCCATAGAGTAATACAGATTAATTGGGAATAATTTAAACAAATAGCTTACAGCCAGAGAAGTATGTCCCGTTAATATTCTTTTGAGTTAGCATTTGTGAAATTACTAATTTTGCATAAAAAGAGCCTGAAAATGGAAGAGAGGGTTTGCTTGTTAGAACTAAGTGAGTAAGTCACACACCCCCAAAAAAATTGTTTTTCGGTGCTGCTTGCCGTATAGGAGAAATAACACGTAACTTCTTCATCTCCTTCCATGGAACACAAAATAATTCCAGGGCACTTCTGCTAGAAGAGGAAGTGTCCATGCCACTGTCACCTCACCTCGTGCAAACGCGGATCTGCATCACCCCGAGACCAGAATAGCTGCTCCTCACAGGCAGTCTTCTGGCATCTCCCACAACACTCCCCTTCTTGGATGATATACTTATATCCCTGTGGGAGAAAAGAAAAGGACTGACTGATCCAGGAATAGAAGACAAATGAGAAGATTAATCCTAAAAGAAAACACTGGGATAAATGCTAAATGTTCACAACTTTTTATGGAAAGGGGAGTTTGAAAACAGAACTGTAAGGCCACACGCTGCTATTACAAAACAAACAAGTGGTCCACCCAGCTCAGCATCCTGTTAAATGGTTAACATCATCTGTCAAAAAAAAAAAAAATTAATATGCACACAACATTAGAAGTAGAAATTCTTATCTCATTAGTTCTTGCTTAATATATATTTTGAAGTCATATTCACTTCAGTACTCTAGGTACTACCCTTCTTCAGGTCATGTAAATCAACTAATGGGCCAGTCTTGTGAGGACATCAGCTTCTTTAATCTGGTATGAAGCACCCCTTCTTGGAGTACAGAAAATGCTGATGGCACCTAATATTAAAAAAAAAAAAAAAAAAGAAAGAAAGAAATCTTAAATCACCCAAAAACCTCTTCCTTTTTCTAGGATCTGCTCAAATATGTAATAGCACAAAGATTTGCCACAAGACAGAAAAGAACAATGATATAAGCAGGCAGAAATGGAAAGGGAAGAGGTAAAAGAAAAATGCTTTCAGAGGACCCTGAGCTATTTCAACAGCATTAAACAGCAGTCATTTCCAAAGGTTAGTTTGCTGTGTGTGAGCAGTTTCTTTTATGCATTAGCAAATTGTAAAGAGCAAGTCTTTCCAATAATATAGCCCTACAGAGGAGTGCAAAAGTATTTCAAAAATCCTTTTTTTTTTTTTTATATCATACTATTACACAAAAGAAAATGAAAGGTAAAAATTGTTCTAGTGGCATCCTGGTTGTTAATCAGCACTCATAACTCCCCTTCCCACTCCTGAGACTTCAAGGTCAGGATTCAGTCTGAGCACATTCAGACATCTGACTGCCCTGTGCTGAAGCAGAGGGAAAGGGTTGGTCAGCAATGTAGTCCAAGGACCAGTTTTGGCTGATCATTTCATCTTTTCATCTCCTGAAGCAACTAGTCAAATATTCAAACACTGGAATATTTAAATGAAAGAAAGCAAAGACCTTTATTCTAATTAGAAATAATATTTTCTATGTTTAAAAGCTACGCAGTCTCCAAGGGGCAAAGCATAACTCTGATTTCAACACAGAGTTGAAGGAAAGATGTTCTGTCAAAGATAATACTGTTTGTGTGAAAAATGCCAATGAAAATAAGCATCATTTTATTTTGGTCAACCCCTTTGGACTGGAATTGCTGAACTATTCCCAGCTGCTCCCTCCCTTCATGAACTTTCCTTGATTTGCAATATGAAGCACATTAGCAAACCTCAACCATCAGCAGACTTTCATATGGAAGTACGTTTTATATAATGTCATACAATGTAATACCAGACCTAGCTTTATGGGGAAAGTTGTGCTGTTGAATATTTTGTTTTATATGACTTTTATCTGCTAAATACATGTCTGAAGCATCTGAAATATGGGATGCAACTTTTTATTTTAGTGGCAAACTCAGAAAAATAAAAATCCTTGAGCTGTTTGTGCCCAGAATAAGCTCAGCATCCTGACTAAGCAAAATCCAGCTGCAGGACCCAAATTTCACCAAATCAGTTTGAACAGAGCCCTCGAAAGTGCAAACAAAAAGGTGCTACGCAGCAGACTCCAGGTGTGATTTGCACTCCTAAGGCAAATATTGGTTTTGGACAGTTCAACCTGCCTGAGTGGCCCTTTGGGTGCTCGGTGTGTTCAAAATCTGGGGGCTCTGACTCCTAAGGGGAAGAAATACAGGAGATGACAGCTCCTGACCTCAGCGCCTGCTGAGCTCCTCCTAAAGCAGCCCCTGAACCACCGCAGCCTACAAACCTGTCCCAGAAGACAAATCTGCAAACTGCAGCCGTTCATGAGCTCCTCAAAAAGCAGAGCAGCCATCTGTACTTGAGGAGAAGGTGTCACAGATCCTCCACAGCATGAGAAATATTTCACCATCAGAAAACCCCAACTTTTCTACTCACACTATGGAAATTTGGGCCCACAGAAATAAAGAAAGCTTTATTTTATGTTTAATTCTAAAGGTGGTAATGTTTAAGGTTACATCTAAGAAAAGGAAAATGTATTGTGCATTTTGGGGTGGGTTTTTGTTGTGTTGTTTTTTTTTTTTTTTCCAGTTAGATGACTCAGGTACAAAGAGTATATGCTACCAGGATTATTTCTGAGCTGCGCAATCTATGGACATGAACATCTGACAAGTCTCAGATATCGTGCTGTTGCAGGTTAATGTTAGATTCAACTAGGCAGAGTAAGTAGTATCCGTCTCCTCCTTCATTATTTTTCATTTTCTTGCATGTAGACACTAGCGTATAGAGATGCCAGTGTTTGCCATGTTTTGTTCAAGGATCCACTTAGGGTCAATATTCTGCTTGTCCCCTGCTTTTTCTGGACTGGATCTGCTGCTTTATTCCTCCTCTGCATCTTACCTTTTTTTTTTTTTTTTAAACACAGAGTTCTAACTTCAAACAGGAAATTAAAACTGAGAAGAAGCCCTTGGTAAGTGTCTGACCGTCTGTCACACCGAGAGGCAGATCACAGTCTACAGGACTCAGAAAATCCCCGTGCCCCAGGGGGTAAGGGATAGGGCAACACAAGGCACCCCTCGCATCTGAACAGGTGCACGCGGCTGACTTGGGAGGTGCACGCAGCTGCGACGGAGAACCTGACAAGTGCTCGGTTGCGCCGCCAGATCAGGCTGTTTTATCAAATGCTGAGATAAAGCTGATCTCCCGTGTGGAGGGTGAAAGCATATAGATTAAGACATTCTACATGGGGGGGGAAATTTTGCCCACTTTGGTACTGGCGCTTGGCTTGCGACAAACAAAAGAGGAATGTGGATTAATTCTGTAGCGTTCAGAGAATGCACATTTTGGTTTCATCGCCTACTCAAAGCTACCGGAGGGATCCGCACAGGCTATGGCTTGGCATATTTCTGCGCTCCCTCTTTCGTTCTAGGGTTGCTCAGGATACATAGTTTATCATTTCACAGGTGCTAAGGTTTTGGCCAGAAAACTCTGTCAGCTGCCTTTTGGCCAACAAAGCAGGAAAGAAAGAACGGAGATTGTTCCTCAACACAGTATTTTTAAGAAGGCTCCAGTATCTTCCTTTTACATATTGAAATGATGGTACCTGGGGTTGGAGGAACCAAAGAGAATGAAAATGGCAACAGTAGACTGAGAAAAACCCAGTAGGATGGATATAAATCGAATTGAAATGCTGAAAGCAAAATCTTCAGTGGCGATGAATCAGCACAATTCTAGAGATTTCCTTGGAGCTGTACTCATTTACCCCAGGTGCGGACTTAATTCTCCATTTGCAAGTCTCTAGAACATTAAGGTATCATCTCCTAATTTCCATAATAAATTATGCTTTAAAATGCAAGCAGGATATTTGAAATTACCTCCCACCAAGTCTTTCATGGTTTTTAAATGGGATCCTGCACATCTAATATTCAAACAACAGTCTTCCTTTTACATTAATTACTTTGACCTCCTTAATACACACTGTTAAGCCATTTACTACCATGCTTTACATGCTACTTCAAAGGAAAATATCCGTTTGAACTATTGGAGATTAAAGCCATAGATTTTGTAGTCAGCATCTACTGCAACCATCATTCATTATGCCTTTGCACATATGGTGCAAATGTTCTTTATTTTAATTTAACACAGTCATCAAGAGGCTTGAAAATCTAACCTAATTAATTTACACACACTTAGCCAAATGGCTTTGTCTTAAACACTTATCGCAGAAAATTATGCTTCATTCTTCTCATAATCATCTCATACTTTAAATTATCCAATACTTCAAACCACACTCTTTTATATCACTTACAAAGTACCTAACTCCAAGAACATTGACAGAAATTAAGCAAAGCAAGTGCTCCGTTCACGTTAGTACTAGTGATTTGAAGGTGTTTTGAAAGCTGTTATCCATTTTGTCACCATGATTCTCTGAAGGGCTGTAGTCTGATGTACTCTCAGAGAAATACTTTCTGAAGAAGCTCCAGGAGGGAGACACCGCTCCTCCTTGTGGCACATGCAATAATTACAGCAATTATCTGCTTTCTCAAAACTTTGGTAAGAGAAAGAAGAAGACAGAAAAAGTGAGGGGACTATGACACATATTGAAGCAAATCCACATCTGGTTTGCAAGTGAGAAGTCTGTATTTGCTGTTAACATCCTCACAGAACTGTGGGATTGGTTCATTTTAAAGAAACATCTTTTTCCATAGCACTTCTTTACATTCTAAAACAACAGATAGGATTTGAGTTTGATTTTGTCATGCTCGGGAGAACGGTAGCACCGTTCATTCATCAGGGTGAAGGAGCTAGTACATGTATTATGTTTTTTTTCTCTTTTTGTATAGCTAGATAAAAAATTGTAAGCTGTTTTCACAGAAGTCAGATGATACAGTCGACAATGATACCGCACAACTTTAAGACCTGGCAATGGAATTAATAACCATAAGCAGCAGAGAGTTCGAACATCATTTTAGTAATGATCCATGATTAAAGTATGTCTTTAATGTCAATACAACTTTCAATGTCATCTAATCTGAACTGAAAAATAAGCTTTAAGGCCAATTCAAACTGGATTACAGAACTTCTGCGGTCCTTGATATGTATATACACTGAATCAGGAATAAGCAAAGGAAAAAAGAAACTCTGAGCTATCCAGGTTTTCCAACAGCTACGGTTTTGGTTGTACAACTTTGATAACCTTTAAAGGAGCAGAAGAAATGGCAGATTCCCAAAAAGAGTTGGCTTGATTTCCACCAAGGCTTTTAGTTTGTTTTAAAAAAAGCTTTTTGACACTGCAATGCTTAAGGCTGATTTGTCAAGAAACTGTAGCTCTGCATTAATGATACTTTATCAGAATAGCAGGTTATTGATAAAGTTATGGCTATGAGCCAAAACACAGCCAGATACTTTAGATCCAGTATTTCATAATAATTGCCGTACTAGAAACAAGTTTCTTCTATAAATGGAAATCAAAGGGATTCTCTTGCAAAAGCTGAAAGCTCTCACATCCACCCTCATGATTTTCACTGCATTGGGCATCCTCAAGCTTTCTCACCAAACTCTACACTCGCAGAAAGAGCACTAGTTCGGTTGGTTGTTTTTTTTTTTTAATGGATTGGTTTTTTGCTCTGGAATTATGCAGTGTTTAAGACACAGCAGAGGAAAATATTATTCAAAAAAAGTTTATATTTTTTTCACACCTTCTCAAATGCACATACCTATATGCTGTCCAGCCTTGTTCTGATACAGAGGCTGTAAATTAAATGATATTGAAATACAGTGGTATTAAGGCATTTGAAATTCTTTGAAAACAAAGACACAATTAGCTTAACAGAGTTCAGAAAAGAGAATTGCTTTTCAGATATTGGTTTGCTTAACTGAAACACTCATAGTCAAATTTCACTGCATGATTAACTGTTTTCAAAATACATATTAGTGTAAATTCAAATGAGAATTTAAAACAAGTCAGATAACACAGGGTTTCTACAACAACGTTAACTCAGCTGTGAGGTGCTGCACATATATGCTCTGTGCCCAAGATCAGTCTTTGACTCCCAGACACATTATTAATGACGTCTTTCGGAAAGAAAAAAGAACACCTCTAACTTCTCATAGCTGTACATACAAGGTTTGCTAATGAAGAGATTTCTTCCAAATGTAACTGAACAAAAGCAAAGAGGAAGAAGAGAGATCATGTGTTGATTTTTCTCAGCCTCTGTTCTGAATGTGACTGCATAAATGGAACTAATTAAAAAAAAAAAAGGTGGACTTCTTAAAAACAGTTAAAAGGTTTTGGAAAAACAGTGGTAAATAGGCTGCAAAGGTTTGGAGACTTGGCAGAGGAGGGGAATGTGCATGACATATTTGTTTGGAGATTCACTGTATTTCCAGTAAGAATTAAAAACCATACCCCTGGAGCAGAAAAAAAAGCAAGTGAATCTTGTCTCACATGCAGCACTAGAAAACCCAGAACATCACAGTAGCATCCCAGTCAGCACAGTGAATCAAACACAGAAGCAGCACCTGTCCCTCTTAGTTAAAGTGTTTTGCAGCTATCGCTGTAGTATGCCCTGCTTTGCATTTCCCACTGACAAATTCCAGCTGGTCACCTGTGATGACACCAGGGCAGTCTGTTAAGTCATAGGCCAACATGCAGATTTTTATCAGCTACTGGACCACTGATGTTACAACACACATTTGGAAACGCTGCTTGGTCAACCATTTGAATTTTGTGTGGGCTAATGCAATATGTAGCCTAATATTATATTCAAAAGCAACTTGGAGATTCACATAGCATTAACTAGCTCATCTTTGCTTCTGCACTGAGGGAAAAAACAAATTAGCTTCTTCTGGGCTTCATTTCATGGTTCAGGGAAGAACAAACCCATGGGGAAAACCCTGGGTCAGCAAAAGACCTGCAGAGAATATTCTGAATCCCATACAGCCACGTCTAGTTGCTCCACATGGACCCCGCACAGCCTACTGAACTGGCAGACTGTGAACACACCAGACCATGGACTAGGGGGGAGCTGCTTCAAGTCACATGTGCCTTTTCCTGAATGGAATTGGGTAGTACCATCAAGAACAATTGCAATTAATCCATGTATAACCTGAAAGCTTTACAAAGAGGCAAAATGTATTTGTGGTAGCCTCTGATGTTTGCATAGCTTCTGTGGACACATGGCAGTTGGCAAGGGGTGTGGGTTGTCAGCACTTGGCTGGACTGGGCAACCTCTTCTGCCATCTGCTTTTTCTACAGACCCAAGCTGTGTGTTTCCACTGTCCTCCCTGACTGACCCATCCATCCTAACCTCATGAAGAAAGGACATGGGAATGCTCAGGGATTATGGGTACAAGGTGCTAGATACCAGAGCAAAATGCAACTCTAGGGCATCACATTTAATTTTACAGTGATTTTTTATTTCCTTATTCTCCACATTATGTTAAGGTGAGCAATGTTAGGGATGTAAATTGGGTAGTTTAAAGGAAGTATAAAAACCATTTTGAACTTTTGTTTGCACAAATCATATTATGGTCAAAGTCTTCTAATCTATGACACTGGCAAGCGCTGCTGACTTTCAACCAATTCCTTTGACCCTTCTAGAATTCTTCTACCAACTTTTTGTACCAAGTACCTGTCTCCTTCTGCTTGACTAGCTATGTCAATATAACAAAGCAGCTCATACTTCCTTTGTGGGCTTCCAAAAGCAGACCATATAATTTTATAGCATGTAGCAGATGTCTGAGCGTAATAAAGGCCACAGCATGTGGTGTTATTGCTGCTATAATGGGCAGAGCTGAGCAATAGACAGATCTGAAACGTTCTCTTCAGAAAGTGAACTTCAGATAGAACAAAGTCATTTGAAATTGGACTTCAGACATCATGAGTACTTATTGTGCAAGTAGTGTAAATGATAGATACTTCAGGATGCAGTTCTCCTTTTATTGAAATATAAAATAAACTTGTCACTGATATCCTTGGCAACAGGATATGATCCTAAAACAATAACCCTAAAATAAAGTCAGTAATGCTCAGGCCTTCTTAGACTCTGTTCCCAAGATAATTTGTTGCTACAACACTTATTTTCTATTTTTCTCTGGTTTCTCTAAACACACAGGTTTAAAAGTAATCATTTCAGATCCCCATCAGGGCTCTGCTGGCTAATGCACTGGTTTAAATGTTACTCACCCGAGAGCAGAATGTGTTACATGCTTTGTCATGACACTCCATCATCTGAAGTCCTGTAACATCATCCCTCATACTAGTGCAAGAGCATTCCCTGCAACCATCTTCCCAGGTTGTCCCAACAGGGTAGACTATGTTGTTGTGCACACACACCTGTTGAATGCAACAATTAATACATGAAAGAGCACACTGCTGCTGTAAGGGCACAATGCTGGCTCCAAAAGGCTGCTTTTTAAGATGTGAAACCTACCATAAATTTTATGGAATATTTTGAACCCAGTAGAAATGGTACAGGTCTTAAAATAGTGGCCATTCTGTTGAGGAAAGGAAAATAAATGCAACCAAAGCTGCTGTTTTATAAAGAATAAATTGGAGATTTTTATCTGCAGTCGGTGGAATTGCCCAGGGTCTGACTCAGTTTCACTAAAAGTGTAATGTGACACAATATTTGAGATATAATAGAGATAATAAACAGCGAGTCTTGTAGAAGGAGCCGTGCACACAAAACTTCTTCCAGCTAAATCAGCTGATCTGAAAAGATCTTACTTTGAGCTACAAGCATTCATTCTCTTGTATCCTTAGGCCATCACAGCTACCACAAAAGTAGTGCAAATCTCTTATATTGCACTTTCTATCAGTAAATTTTACAGCATGTTATTAAAGAGATTAACATCATTTATTTTTATAGATATAGCAAGCAAGTCACAAAGACATAAAATTACTTATGCAAGGTCATGAACTACTTAGGAACAGAAAATAAAGGCTACATCTCCCAAGCTGCAAGACAGTGTAAGCAGCTATGTTAAGCTGTTAGGTAAGGTTGCTTCAATGAAAAGGTTACATTGCCCTGCAACCTCTCCTCTAAGCAACCTTACTTTAAAGGTTAACATAATATAACAACTTAATAAAACGCTGCCAAAATAAGGAAAAATATATCCTGGTGAAACTTTAAGAGAGTCAAATATTAATTTGGCAAAAATTTTAAAGTGGCAATATAGTTCATATAAGATACAATGCCTCCTCAGGCAGAGGCAAAGGTAATCAATGCGCACAAGAAGTTTAGGTCTAAGGTGTCCCAAATATTTCCATAAAGTTAGTATAGGATTGAAAGAATATATAGTAACTGTACTGATCCAAAGCATGTACCTTTGTTATCCAGAAGCAAATGAAAAATTTCAAAATTACCTCTGAAATTCCCTACATATATATATATATATATATAAAAAAAGTCAAGGTCATTCAAGCATTAGGAATATATAAAATCATCTGATAATCTCAAAGTCACAAAAAATAGGTTGGTTAAGTCATTACTGTAATAAAACAAGCAACAGTGTGATGCAAGTGTATTTCTCTCGGACACTTGTAAATTTAAAATGCCCTAACATCATTGTCCAGTAGTCTCTTTGGGGGCTTGTTAATATCTAGCTATACACTGACTTCGGTGCTGTCACTCCACATGCAAAAGATGCTCTCATCTGTGGAAATCACACTTCATTCCCCTTACCGTGCCTGGAACACAGGTGGTAGATACGCAGCCGCAGTCATTGGTGAGAGATCTGGACAGATATCCCAGAGGGCAGCTCACTGTTGAGTTAGTGCAGCTGCAGGTACACTCATATTTATCACAGCACTCGGTCTTCTTAACAGTCAGCTCTCGGTGCGGTGGGCAGGAAGGTCTTTGGACTAAGCTGCACGCTTCTCTGTTACACGCTAGCAGAAAAAGGTAGGCACCATGTCAAGCACACAGCATTTCAGAGTGCCACGAGTGAACAAGACAGTTCTCTGGCAGCAAGGCACTAATTTGCTACTGCAAACTTAAAGACTAACAAGTAAAGCAGATATAAAAGACCGAGGTAAAAAATTGTGCTGCAGGTTCAGGAAAAGTTCCCACCCTGCCAAAAAATTCTTGTCTCATATACAATGAAAAATATTTATAATATAAGCATAAGGGTCAGAGCACACACGTCCAAGAGTAAAGTGTTTCTCTTTTCCTTAATTCAAAAGCGTACTCAGAAAGTGCCAACAATACCCTTCTTCCAAGTCTGTGAAATCATTACATTTCTGTTGGCTCCAAAACTCAACCTTTCAGAGGGAAAAAATAATGTCTAAAGGAAGTTGTCAGTGTCGCTCAAATGCAATGCTCCAGTGTCACTGCCTGCTAAAAAAAAATCTTACCACATGTGTAATTTGGTCTGCATTCTCCAGGGTTGGTCAGAGCAAGCTGCAGGCCAAACTCACAGGCAGGGGCAGAAGGCAAATCACAGGAAACCAGATCACAGACTAAGAAGAAAAATTGAGAGAGTGTTTAAGACCACGCCTTGACTAGTTAGAAAAGACACACACATGCATGCACATCCCCATT